GAGAGAGAGAGAGTGTGGGAGGCTTGCTTTATATTCTAACAGGTAGTCCTTAAGTTTAATGAAATTGCTTTCGTTTCAGCTTTCTCAATTAAGTTAATATTGTATTTAGTACCTTTTTAATAATTATTTTAAAAAGTTCGAAGAGGCGCTGTAGACAATGCCGTAAACACTTGCCTAGAAACTTATTAAATATTTCTGTTTATGTTTGTTTTATTATGCAGAAAACTTTGCCAAAATACAAAAGTTTATCGATTTTATTATTTTTCTTAATATTTTGAAATTTTTTTAATGCCAGCGTAAAAAGTTAGACTCACATTTCAGTTGTTGAGTATCTTTTTGGCGTTTATCAGTTGGGTACGTCAACGCCGGATATTTATGTGCTCCAGTAAATGTGAATATTGTGTGCGGTGAATGCTGTGAAGTTATTCAAAAGTTTTAGTGCTTTAACGTCGTTATTCCATCAACAAGTTGGGGATTTTTGATTTAGCAAATGCGATTTTAACGCAAAACTTTACAAATTAAGAAATTTCACGACTGCACATACAAATGTATTCACAAAAATGTTTTCTGCTCTCCTAGAAGTTGATTTGCTAGCTTTCATGTATGTGAGTGGGTCGATTTTAAAAGTGCTAAGTTATAGCCATTTAAGTCTGTGTGAATGAATATAAATTTTCCTAAATTGTTATTAAAAAGTTTCTTTAAAACTATAAAATTTTGCATAAATGCGTGCGTTTATAAAATCTCTAATTAAATTGATTTTGCTTGATAAATGTTTTATTTAATCTTAATTTTATTTTGAAGAAATATTAAAATTCATTCATCTAAATTAAGAATTATGGCAGAATACGTATATGTGAGTAAAGGGGTCCGATCTCCACTTAACAAAATGTTAACAAGATAAAATATATGAAAAGTCTAAATACCTTCTGCTTAAAAAAGTATTAGGATTTTTTTGTTTGTTAACTACTCCTTAAGTAATGGACCTTTTTCAAAAATTTTTTTTTGTTATGTTGGTACACCCTTTCTTGACATATGGTACAAATTTGACCGTCATCTGTCAATTAGTTTGTTCACAGCAGCTATTAATGTGAAACTACATTAAGTGCATACTATGGAAAATTCTTGTTGTCTGTCATCGCTCAGGCACTATATTCGCCAGATATGGCTCGTGCGATTTTTTCCTGTTCCCGAAACTCAAATTGCCCCTTCGTGGTACGCGTTTTGAGTCGATTGAATCGGTGAAAGATACATACATACATATATATACTTATAATTACTAACTAAAATTAAATAAATAATAACATTTAAGTCGCCTATCAAGTCCTAAAAAGTAATAAAGCGTGTTTCAGATACTGCTATTATAAATAGTAATAGAATAACTACTATATAACTTTGAACAGCTAAAGGTAACAGGCTTGTTGCATGTGGTATTCTATGTATTAATATCATAATTAAAATTCTCATTTAGTTTAATGTATTATGTATTTACATAAACCAATTTAGGAGATAATAGCGATTTCGATTTTAATAATGTAAATATTTGGTTTGTTTCCCTTATAAACTTTTCTAATTTAATGTCATTTTTATTTATGGAACCCATTTAGAAGGTATTTTCATGTTTAATAAGGGATGAATTAGATTTGAATAGTTAAAATTATAGTATATTCAACTTAGTCGTTTTTATGTTCGTGAATGGGTCGATTTTACTAAGACAATATCTATTGAAATCTGTTTGAACTAATGCATATTTCCCTAAATTGTTATTAGAAAGTTGTTTTAAAATGATAAAACTTTGCATAAATGGGTGCGATCACGGTTGTCACTTGAAAATTTTTTTCTGTACCAAAATTGGTTTAAAAAGGTACCATTTCTGTAAAAAAAGGTCCAAAATTTTTTTGGACCTTTTTGGTTTCTCGTTCTGTGTTTTTCATAGTGTTATAAATGAACAAAATATAAAATAGTGCAAAGTTGCATTTATAAAAAAATTAATTGGAAATATCCACAATAAAAATTGGGTCGTCAAAAATGTACCAGTTTTTGAAAATGAGTACCAAACGAAAAAAAAAAAAAAAAGTACCAATTTTGGTACTAAAGTACCATAAGTGGCAACCGTGGGTGCGATTATAATATCTCTAATCAAATTGATTTGGCTTGACGAATGTTTACCTTATGGTAGTAGTGCTAATTTTATTTTAAACAAATTTTAGAATTCATTCATTTAAACGAATAAATATGTTAGTAAAGGGATCAGATTTCCTTTTAATAAAATAGTTTAAAGATAAGAAAAGTTATAGATAATTTGTAAGATAATATTAATTTCTAATTTTAATAACAAATTTTGAGATTGTTATATAAATTTGTCTACTTTTAAAAATTTCAGTGACAAAGAACTGATAGAAAAAGTAGCTTTAATTTTTAAGTATATTTAAATAATGTACTAGAAAATTAGACATCAGCTTACCACAATACTGGCTATGAAACCATGTCTCAACTCTACTTGAACGTAAGCGTGATGTAGGCAAGGAGATGAAGTGAGACTGGTATAGTACTGCAATAATAACAATGCCAGCAAAAGCGTAAAATAATAAGCGGTGAATAAATGTGCTGTCAGATTTAAAATTTTCTGTAGAATACTTTTGTAACTATCTATTCAATATTCAAAAATTATTATTTGTTACTATAAAGCTACATATATTCTTCATATGTATTATAAGAGACATTGAACTATTTATTTAAAATATATTCGTGCTTCATTATAAAAGAAATTCGATTTTTAAGTGTAAATGTACAGAAGGAATAAGAAAATATTGTAGGTAATTATATAGAGAGTGAACATTTATATTATGTACATAAATATGAATAAAAACAAGAATATTGTACACATTATATCTTGAGTTTTTCAAAAAATTTTTTTTATATATCTGTTATATTTGTCTCCATCACCGTTTTCTTTTCTTCGGCTTTAATTGCCGTCATATGCTTTTATTCGTACTTTGAAAAACTGTTCCCTGTAAAATTTAATGAATTTTTTTCTCATTTCAATCTCACTTTTACCACTCAACACAGTACTACAACCGCAACGACAACCACTCCCACTTCCACTCCAAAAAACTTTGTATCTGCGGGAGATGCTGTATTGTGCAGCCGTGTCACTTGTTGTATTCTGTGGTTTTTGTCTGTCTCAGTTTTATTGCTGTAATTGGCCACCAAAAAGCATTTCACAAGCACGATTTTTTGTTGCTTTTCTTCCAATTTCAGATGACTTTGGGAAAAAATTTGGTTCTTTCTTATTTGTTTGTGTATTTCACATCAAAACTTGACAGTTGGACAAATCGAGCCTTAAATTTGTTCTAGCAAACTCTGACATAAGTTTACCTTTTGAAACACATGCTCCATAATTGTCACCTTTTGCTGAATTGATCTCAAAATTTGTGTCCTTTTATTTTTAATTCACAATGTATTTCCAATTAATTAATTAAAATTTATTTAAGATTCCAGACAATTTATTGCTGTGGCAATGCCCTTAGAGTTTGTTAGCATTCAAGTCAGTACTTGAGTTCAATGAAGTTTAGTGAACTGCCGTTTTCTGTTGATTTTCCAAATAAAATAAATTATTTTGATGTATGAGTGAAATATGTTTTTCATGATTTTTATTTCAAGGTTTTAAAAACTTTGTACTTCTCTTACAAAAGCAGACGAAGTTAAATTAAATAATTCATTCAAATTTATGAATTAGTTACTTTCTAAATTGACGTTGGCTGTTATAAGTATTTGAAATCACAATATTTTATTGCTTAAGTCCCATCAATACAGTAAAAGCTTTAATATTGTCTTTAAAATTTATAATGAATTAACATACTTAAATTATTGCTTAAATCTATATAAACATATATATATATATATATA